TTTTTTTTTTTTTTTTTTTTTTTTTTTGAGACAGAGTTTTGCTTTGTCGCCCAGGCTGGAGTGCAGTGGCATGATCTCAGCTCCCTGCAACCCCTGCCTCCTGGGTTCAAACAATTCTCATGTCTCAGCCTCCTGAGTACTGGGATTACAGGTGCCTGCCATCACTCCTGGCTGATTTCTAGTAGAGACAGGGTATTTTAGTAGAGATGGGGCTTCACCATGCTGGCCAGGCTGGACTCGAACTCCTGACCTCAGGTGATCCACCCACCTTAGCCTCCCCAAGTGCTAGGATTACAGGCGTGAGCCACCGCGCCTGGCCTTAAATGCTTCTATTTTTAACATTTAAAAAATTTTAACCTAGGCTGGGCATAGTGGCTTACATGTATAATCCCAACACTTTAAGAAGCCAAGGTGGGAGGATCCGTCGAGCCCAGGAATTCAAAATCAGCCTGGGTAACACAGTGAGACCCTTTCTCTACAAAAATTAAAAAAAATTCAGCCGGGTATGGTGGTGCACGCCTGTAGTCCCAGCAACATGGGAGGCTGAGGCAAGCAGATCACTTGAACCTGAGAGGCTGAGGATACAGTGAGCCATGACTGCACCACTGCACTCCAGCCTAGGTGGGGCCAGGGGAGGAAGGGAGGAAAGGAGGAAAGGGAAGGAAGAGAGGGAGGGAGGGAGGGAGAAAGGGAAAGAAGAAAAAAAAAGAAATTAAATAAAGTCTTGATAGAGAATGTGGCAGGGCACTGTGGCTCACGTCTACAATCCCAGCACTTTGGGAGGCTGAGGTGGGCTGACTGCTTGAGCACAGGAGTTCAAGACCGGCCAGAGCAACACGATGAAACCCCATCTCCACAAAACATACAAAATTAGCCAGACATGGGGTCATGCACCTGTGGTCCCAGCTACATGGGAGGCTGAGGTGGGAGGATCACCTGAGCCCAGGGAGGTTGCAGCTGCAGTAAGCTGTGATCACTCTACTGCACTCCAGCCTGGGTGACAAAGTGAGACCCTGTTTCAAAATAAACAACAAAAAAAAGACAGAGGGCTGGGCGCAGTGGTTCATGCCTGTAGTCCCAGCACTTTGGGAGGAGGCCGAGGCAGGAAGATCACTTGAGGTCAGGAGTTCAAGACCAGCCTGGCCAACATGGTGAAATCCCGTCTCTACTAAAAATCCAAAAATCAGCCGGGTGTGGTGGTGGGCGCCTGTAATCCCAGCTACTTGGGAGGCTGAGGCAGGAGAATCGCTTGGACCCGGGTGGTGGAGGTTGCAGTGAGCCGAGATCACATCACTGTACTCCAGCCTGGGCAACAGAGCGAGACTCTTATCTCAAAGAGAGAAAAAAAAAAAGAAGACATAATTCTTCATAATACAAAATAAATTTACATAATAAAATCAATACTGAATAAAACAGACCCCAAATGTATAAAGATGAAACACATTACATCAAATGTTCTTTGTGGTCATTTATCCTGTGCTTAAGCAAAAATGATAGTTTCCTAAAAGATAAGTATTAACTTACTTTAGTGGGCAATGGACATTCATCTAATAACAATGTTATAACAGCTGGTCCCAGTGGATCTTCCAGTGGAATAACTCTAATTAAAGACTGGACAACATCCAACCATCCTTCATCTAAGAGCAAATCAAGAAGATTATATGATGGAGTCACTATTTTTAAAATGTGAAAATATGTCACACAAGATCAATTCACATTAAAAGAAAGACTTTTGGTCAATAGATTTTTAGCAGCTAATACTTGGCATGGACATAATCATCAATTGCTAGTCATCGTGGTGGAGTAAAAACATCTTAAGTTACAGGAGTCTGGTGATTTGTGGGTACCTGTATTTGTAAAAAGGTTAAGCTACGGTCTTGTGTTCTCACATTAAAATAGTTTTAAGCATCTTATTTACTACATAGGAGTTAACTGAGAAAATGAAGTATACTCAGCAGTTGGCTTTGTTTTCAGAATGATACTTAGGAAACTAAGGAAGAAAAAATATCCTTGGCCAGGGGCTGTGGCTCACATGAGTAATCCAGCACTTCGGGAGGCTGAGGCAGGAGGATCCCTTGAGCCCAGGAGTATAAGACCAGCCTGGGCAACACGGTGAAATTCTGCCTCTACAAAAAAACAGAACAATTGCTGGGTAGTGTGGCATGTGCCTGTGGTGCTAGCTACTTGAGAGGCTGAGGTGGGGTGATCACCTGGGCCAGGGCAGGTTGAGGCTGCAGTTGAGCTGTGATTGTGCCACTGCACTGGGCAACAGAGTAAGACTCTGTCTCAAAAAA